TGTGGTAGTGGTGCTTAACTCCATGGTTAAACCAATTCCTGAAGTCCACTCCTCTCCAATTTTGCGATGGTAGTTACGAGATGTGTTCAAAAGTATCGCGACTTTTGTGTTTTTCAAAAATTATTTATTTATTTATGAATACCTATTTTGTCCCCTTCAAAGTAATCCCCATGAGATATTATACACTTGCGCCAACGTTTTTCCAATCTTCGAAGCACTTCAAAAAATCATTTTTTAAAATCTTTTTCAGCTCCTCCTTCGATGCCGTCTTTATCTCGTCACGCGTAGCGTAACGTCGTCCTTTCATGGGCCTCTTCAGTTTAAGGAACAAGAAAAAGTCACAGGGGGCCAGATCTGGGGAATACGGTGGCTGTGGCATCATTAGTGTTTGTTGTTTTTGGCCAAAAATTCGCGCACAAGCAACGATGTGTGAGCAGGGGCATATCGTGGTGCAAAAGCCAATTTTTGTTCTTCCACAAATCCGGGCGTTTCTGGCGGATTGCTTCGCGCAAATTGCGCATAACTTGTAGGTAATATTCCTTATTGACCGTTCTACCCTGTGGCAAGAACTCATGATGCACCACGCCCCTGCAATCAAAGAAAACTGTCAGCAAAACTTTCACATTCGACCGAACTTGGCGCGCTTTTTTCGGTCTTGGTTCGTGCGGCAGCTTCCATTGAGATGATTGAGCTTTGGTTTCCACGTCATAACCATAAACCCACGCTTCGTCACCAGTTATGATCCTCTGGAGCAAATTTGGGTCTTCGCGGACAGAGTCCAACTAGGACAGAGTAACAACAGTAGCAATGTTCATGCGATGCTGTTTTTGGTCGCAATTGAGCAATTTTGGTACGAATTTCGCGGCGACCCGTCTCATGCCCAAATCATTGATAAAAATCGAATGGCACGAGCCAATCGATATGTTTAGGTCCTCAGCAACTTCTCTAACAGTGATTCGACGATTTGCCAATATCATTTTCTCCACTTCATTAATTTTTCGTCTGTTGTTGAAGTGCTCGGGCGTCCGGCACGCTCTTCGTCGTTTACATCTTCTCGGCCTTCTGAGAACATTTTGTACCACCGATTAACGTTGTTACGGTCCAAGATAGCTTCTCCGTATGCCACAGTCAACATTCGGAAAGCATCCGCGCACTTAATTTCGTTTTTCACACAAAATTTGATACAGGTTCTTTGATCCATTTTTTAATAGGTAAAAATCGAAGACGATTCAAAACACCTGCAAGCAAAGCAGCTGTCAACAATTAAGTGAACATTCAAAATGGCCGAGCTTGTCGGCATAAGTGAGAAACATGAGTACCAACATAAAGCCACAAAAAGATCGAAATTCGAATATACGTAACCCGCGAAAATTCAAAAGTCGCGATACTTTTTTAACACACCTCGTATAGGCTTGGAAAATAGGTCCTCTATTGTCAGTTCTGAGCATGATATGTTCTGGAGAAGCTTCCACACTATTGTATTTCAAGTATTACTATATAGTCCTGGCTTATCAGTGGTGTTGGTGCTTATCTCCATGGTTAAACCAATTCCTGAAGTCCACTCCTCTCCAATTTTGTGATGGTAGTTATAGGCCTGGAAAATAGGTCCTCTATTGTCAGTTCTGAGCATGATATGTTCCGGAGAAGTTTCCTCACTATTGCATTTCAAGCAGTTATTGAAGTTTTTTTTTTGTCCATTTTGAAATTTTAAGGTGTATTACGTGTATATATAGTACTAGCCGAATGACCCGGGCAACGCCCGTGTTTTACCCGATTGAATGTTTTTATTCAAATACTATTTGTTACAATTATAAATTGGAGCCGTGGATGTCACTCTTGTGAAACGTCCCGCTCCAAACTTTACATGTACATTAGGTCAGCTGGTATTACCCCTCATTTTCACCGCTAGAGGCGCGAGCGAATTGACTTTTTGAAAATATACATAATTATAAAGATAGAAGCTTCTATAGAAATAAATAAAATAAGCCGAAATAGCTCAGTTAGGAGAGCGTTAGACTGAATATCTAAAGGTCCCTGGTTCGATCCCGGGTTTCGGCATCTTTTTTTATTTTTTAAATTTCTACTTACCGTAACTTGACACGTGACTTAACGTGACAGAATTGTGCATGACGCTGATAACTGTATTAAATATATAATCCAAATTGTGCCTTATCACACACTATTTATTTGGATTAGGTCTTATTACCTTGTGTTTAAAATCTATAATCCAAATTATGCCTTATCACACACTATTTTTTATTTGGCCTTATTACCTTGTGTTTATAATCTATGACGTAATGCCGGCGGCGCGCGCCCGTTGGCTGCCGGCGAGCACGTGACCTCCCTGTGCGCGCGCATCCGTGACAGAAGCGGCCGATGAGGAATGAAGAAAGACGGTCGTGACTATATATATATATATACGTGTTTATAATAGTTTCGAATTCTTATAATAGATGGCACGCTAATGTAATCATATTACAATAGAAATGATACAAAGCAGTATAAAGGATGAACAGTAAAATCGTGAATTATTCTCTCTATAGTTTAGGCCCCTCATACAGGAGGCCTTCAACATCATACACCCGACTTGCAGGGCTACTGGCTCTTCGGTCAAGGACTGGATGACGACGCCATCCTCGCGTCTGTCAAGTCATCAATTCACAGGTTCTTTCTGAGCCTTGAGATGAGGGGAGAACATGACTTACTGTCTGGACTCTTTGTCTCCTGGACTTTACATAACTGTAAATTCTGAATATAGAGCAATCCATAGTATATTTTAAAAATAATGCTTATTTTGGATTGTAATAAGATTATTTATTAATCCGATATTTCGATGGACCAATCTTCCATTTTTTACGAGGTATTTTGCCGTGAAGCACGCAGCAGGTCACGTGCCCCAGGTAAGCCACTAGACGTCTTCCGATGGTTTATCGCCCAATAAGCTTGGAAGACGTCTAGTGGCTCACCTGGGGCACGCGACCTGCTACGTGCTCCACGGCAAAATACCTCGTAAAAGATGGAAGATTGGTCCATCGAAATATCGGTTTAATAAATAATCTTATTACAATCCAAAATAAGCCTTATTTTTAAAACATAACTGTATATAGTTTACTCGTTTATTTTATATTCATTTTTATGATTATTTTATAATACCACCATTGACTTGTGTATGATGTCAATGAAATATTTTTAAATCTCAAATCTCTCTATGGTTTGTCCAAGTTGGGAAAGTTCTCACCAGATTGTCTCAAGACGTCGCAAGTGACAGATGGCTGAGATGACCAGCGGAAATGGAGGAGTCCTGTTGCTTCCCGCGGGGGGTCATCCTGTGGCTTCGGGTTCCTTCCGCGGAACTTCTTTTGTCAGAATTCTGTCCAGTAGATCACATTGTGGACATCTGTCTTTTCATCTTTAAATATTCGAAATCCAAAGAAGAGAGGAATTCGACAGAAATTTGTATGTAGAAGATAGAGGGTGCCTGGCCGACATTCCTATTTCTATATAATACACGGCATACATGGCATCTGCCCGGTAAGCGGAACATTGTGGGTTCGATTCCCATCCCTGGACACTTTTATTTTTCCGTTCATCATTACTTTTCATAATTCATCCTTTCATACCTCATCCAAAAAGGTTAGAAATGGTCGATATTTCACCTTGAAATAAAATTTTGATTTTTCGTTTAAAAGAAACTCATGCGGTGTCGTTTTATATTCATATTTCTGTAAAAAGACTTCGGCCAGTTAAAGTTTTATTTTCTCAACATTTCAACAAATACAACAATTGTTATTAGGGTTTAATTTGAGATCTCGAGATATCATTCAACCAGCACGTATCCTCCACCATGCACGTATATTTTCAAAAATTGTTTAAAACACACAAAGAATGTAATATATATTTTTCTCCCCCTTTCTATAGCATTAATATTTAAAATATGTAAAAATTAATTTGTATACAAAAATAGTATATAGATTTTTAACTTTTGATTAGACAATTTTAATTTATATTTAGACATTTTTCATTTCAATTTAGACATTTTTCATTTTAATTAAGACATTTTTCATTTCAATTTAGACATTTTTCATTTCAATTCAGACATTTTTCATTTCAATTCAGACATTTTTCATTTTAATTTAGACACATGGGCTTTTCTATAAATGGGATGACATATATCATCAATTTATTATCGTGATAATCTGTTGAAGGACTGCCAAGTCCGAAAGCTTCAAAATAAAAATTTGAACAAGAAACTTAACCCTAGAAGCTTTATTTATTTTATAAAAATATTTTGTGTGGCAAGGCTTTTTAAAATTGTTCACCAACAATTTTTTTTTAAGTGTAATTTTTTAAAGCAATTTATATGTTGAAAAGAGAATTGATTAATAACGCTGTCACGATTCTGCTTACAAATCCAAGACTAATTTCGAATTCCACGATACTTATGTTTTTCTTTGACAAAAGTTACTTTTACGAGTTAACACGCAAATAGGATCATTCAAACAATAATCTGTATATATCATGTGTATATAATCTTTCTCTATTTTTACCCCTTTGTATATTTCCCACTTTCATAGGTTTCTCCGTCTTGTAACCCCAAGGAGAATCCTCTGTAAGACCTGTGTGTCTTAATAAAGGTTTTGTGTGTGTGTGTGTGAGTTAACACACAAAATACAATTTACTAGAGTATAAATTAAAAGTAAATTAACACTCTGAAAAGCGTAACTCAATACAACAAAATAAAATGGAAGGACGTAAACAAATAAATAAAAAAACATGATAAGTTATAACAAAACCAATACTTATCTTTTATTGCAGCGTTGATAAGGACCGGGGTTACACAGGTATGTGAGATCACCAGACACGGGCACAAAGAACTTTTTAAACGTCTCCACACAATAACTACTGGAAGACTCCTTGTATATAGAGATAAAATATGGTGTTACGGTATATAACCAAAGTGTGTGATTTCGCGAGCCCAAAAAAAAAAAAAAAAAAAAAGATGTTTCTGCCAGGGCTCGAACATGGGACCTACCGCGTGTTAGGCGGATGTGATAACCACTACACCACAGAAACATGCATAACTATGGACCCCCTTTATATACAAACATGGTCACAATCGTCCAATGGGGAAGGCGTTAGAGTTCAGTTCGCCACTTAAATACAAATAAACAACGATATTTACTTCTAACTGATAATCTTAAACTGCTTATGTTTGTCAAATAAATTGACATCTTGAAGAATTCTATCGAATTGTTTCAAAGTAGCGAGTTAAAAAATGATATGAAAATGATTGTCTTTTTTTTTATCGTCTTGACGTACAAATTGAGCTTCAGATTCCAATATGTCGAAGGATATTGAAATGACCTAATTTGAAATAACTTCGGTGTTTACCTCAGAACTGTTGCCTCTGGGGGAACATCCATGTGTTATTGTTCATTACGGAATATCTATGAAATATTTAGTCTAATAGACAAAACTTAAGGAAGTTGTACCTTTTACCATGTATATCGGGATTCAGACAATAACTCTGAAAGATATTACAGTTACTTTTATTGAAGACACACTCATGGACAATACTTAAGGAAGTTGTACCTTTTAGCATGTATATCGGGATTCAGACAATAACTCAGAAAAATATTACAGTGACCTTTATTGAAGACACACACATGGACAAAACTTAAGGAAGTTGTACCTTTTAGCATGTATATCAGGATTCAGACAATAACTCAGAAAAATATTACAGTTACTTTTATTGAAGATACACTCATGGACAAAACTTAAGGAAGTTGTACTTTTTAGCATGTATATCGGGATTCAGACAATAACTCTGAAAGATATTACAGTTACTTTTATTGAAGACATACTCATGGATAAAACTTAAGGAAGTTGTACTTTTTAGCATGTATATATCGGGATTCAGACAATAACTCAGAAAAATATTACAGTTACTTTTATTGAAGACATACTCATGGACAAAACTTAAGGAAGTTGTACCTTTTAGCATGTATATCGGATTCAGATAATAATTCTGAAAGATATTACAGTGACCTTTATTGAAGACACACTCATGGACAAAACTTAAGGAAGCTGTACCTTTTACCATGTATATCGGGATTCAGACAATAACTCTGAAAGATATTACAGTGACCTTTATTGAAGACACACTCATGGACAAAACTTAAGGAAGCTGTACCTTTTACCATGTATATCGGGATTCAGACAATAACTCTGAAAGATATTACAGTGACCTTTATTGAAGACACACTCATGGACAAAACTTAAGGAAGCTGTACCTTTTACCATGTATATCGGGATTCAGACAATAACTCTGAAAGATATTACAGTGACCTTTATTGAAGACACACTCATGGACAGAACTTAAGGAAGTTGTACCTTTTAGCATGTATATCGGGATTCAGACAATAACTCTGAAAGATATTACAGTGAACTTTATTGGTTATAAATATTTATAACAATGTCAGCAATGGCTCTCCTGCTGATCCACACATCACATGTCCAGCAAACGTCAGTTTTCGTTGTTTTATGAACTTTATCCTCGCCCAGAAGTACTACTCTACGTGGTGGGCGGGAGAAGCAGCACAAGTAAGGGACTGCCCTGTAGTACGGTGTTGTGAGCCCCGAGCCGCTATGGTAACCGTGAAAAGGGAACTCTGAAATGTGGCTGACTAACGGGGCAATGTGGGCACCCCCCTCCCCTCCCTTTCCATGGGGACAAGACAGAAGGCGCAAGAGATAACCAAAGTGTGAACAAAATGTCTCTGTCTCTTTCCTCAAAGTTTGTCCATGAGTGTACACGTGTTGGTGATAAAAGAGTTGGTCACAAATGAGAATCACCGTAAACCGAACTTCACCAAAGAACTTAACGCTGTTCCTATACCCCTGCAGTTATGGTGTGGGACTCTATGACTTCTTGGCACATCACCATGGTATGTATCATTGAGTTGGGTGTATCAACTGTTGAGCTGTCAGACCTCTCACATCTGACATTCCACAAGAAGTTAATTTGAGCCAAATACCGCATGTTTCCGTCAGCTATTTCTGGACATGTAACACTTCTTATTTCCACCAGTATATTTGATTTTGAGCAAAATAATTCACGATAAATATCAAGGTTTTTACATATTCTTTATTAAATATATCTATATTACGATGTACTAGCGCGCCATCTGTTATTAAAATTAGAAACTATTTTAGACGCGTAAGATTCTTTTTGATATTAAACAATTTCTACTGCCCTTACTGCAATGGAAAAATTAATTGGAGGGCCTGGCTCATCAGTGGTAAACCCTCCCAGCGGTTTCGCCAGTTTAATCTACAGATTGCAGTAAGGGCAGAAGAAATTGTTTAATTTAAAAAAGAATCTTAAGGGTCTAAAATAGTTTCTAATTCTCATTAAAGATAACTGTTCATACAAAAGTTTACATTTATACATTTTTATTGGATATAATGATC